AATAACTGATTGGCATAATTACGGAGTAAATCAAGGATTAAATCTTTGACTGAATCCACGTAATAACTGTTACAATATCAACGATGATATTGTGACCGTTATCCGAAAGTTTACATAAAAAATTAGAATCATGTGAAAAATCCGGGCCACACCCACAACCGCGCACGTGACACGAACACGAACCGAGTCAGGTGGCGGCTGCGCGCGAGGGGATACCCATATCTAGCCCACACAAGATACTCAAGTATAAACATGAGTGTTGAAATATATAAAGAAGGTAAAACCTCTTTACCTCACCAATGTGGGACTTTTGTTCTTTTATTTTGAAGCAACCAAGGAGTTTTCAACAATATCTCCAACATCTATGTCCGACATTATTGGTGCAAGGAATGTATGCACCATGAGGGATGTTACATGGGTTGGGACTAGGGAGAGGGACGTGTGAGGAAGGTGATTAATGTAATACATCTTTTTTTATCGAAAACTTTCTTTGAATCTTGAAGGTTTTGTTGACCTCTCAATTTCTACTTCTTACCTTGCATGGGGTTACAGATTTTATGGTCGTATAGAATTTCGATTAACATTCTTGATATCACACTTGCACTTAGTAATTAGCAACTTACTGATTCGTATTTGAAGAATCTGATTTTACTTTCTTTTCCATGTTCTTTTAAGTTTAGAGGGAGTTTGTTAGTTGAGTGTGATAATGTCTAACCTTGTTTGTCAAGTGCTTAGTGCTTACTTGACAGATAGGGAGCATAGGGTGTAATTAAGAGACACTGATCTTTTCTTGTTCGTCTCTTGTTATTTTGATTGCTACCTCAACCTTGTGATTCATTCGATAATTCTTTTTTTTTTCCCCGTGTTGCTGTTATTTTGCAGGTAGTGGCTGATTTAAATTTTCCCTTTCAATCTACATTAACAGCAGCAGCAGTAGTAACATCATATATACTAGTAGCAGGAACAGGATCCAATGGAATCATGGTGGGAGTCAGTGTCCAAAGCTCGCTCCCGAATCCAAGCCCTCCTTCCTCTCCTCCCTCCTTCATTTTCGTCCAGTGATTCTCTCTCTTCACTGGTTGACTCTGATCAACCTGCTCGCTCCCTTCTGGACTCCTATGAAACCTACTCTGCTGTGTCATCAGCTCTCTCTGGATCTGGTGATGATCCTCTCTGTCAATGGCTCTATGACACCTTCCTCCAGTCTTCTGATGACTCTGAATCAGACTTCCGCCTTGTGGTGATTTCCTTAGTGCCTCTCATTGCTGGACTCTATCTATCTCGCATTCACACCTTCTCCACCACCTCCCCTTCCCCCCTTGGCTCCCCTTCCCTTGCAGGCTTTGAAGCCGTTCTCTTGGCTCTCTACTCTTCTGAGGTTAAGGTTCGCGCTGGCAAACCCCTCCTCGTTTCCATCCCTTCCCCTGCTTACCTTGCTCACCATCCTTCCCTCTATCACACCCCAACTCCTCAACCTCACCCTCCTTCTGTTAATAATAATTATTTTTCCAGATCATCCGCTTCTTCTTCTCCTTCTGTTGTGTCTGGAATTGGAGTTGAAATTGGAGTTGGGGTTATCTCACTACCTCTAGAGCCCCAAATAGGGATCCAGTCCACAAAGCGTGCTACTATTGTCGGGGTAGTCTTCCATTGCTTTTTCAAAACTTTGGTCTAAGATAGATCTCTGCCGTTTTGCTGCTTTGTGGGCTGGCAGTGATTGTCCCTGTGCTCATTCTCTTGACTTCCATTGCAATACTCCTACTACAACTGCTAATCGAGTGGATGACGATGACGATGACGATGCTGTCTCTGTCAGTGAGGACCTTGTTTCCTCCACAACTAGCACCACTAGTAGGTCTAGTACTATTGGAGGTATCATTGCTCAACACCCTCAACCTCACCAAAATGGAACAGCAGGAAGTGAAATTATCCTTTCAGAGGTTATTTCTAGGTTGGATATTAACAGCAACAATACCAATCACTCCCAGATGTCAAATTCGTCTTCTTCTGGGGGACAGGGACATGGGCAGGAACAAGAAGGGGTGAGAATTTTGCTGCCCTGGGAGCTATTGCAGCCATTGCTAAGGATACTGGGCCACTGTCTGCTGGCTCCTGCTCCTCTGAATAACCAGGAGGTTAAGGACGCTGCTTCTGTGGCGGTTAGGCGTCTCTATGCCAGGGCTTCTCATGACCTAGCTCCACAGGCTATCCTGGCTACACGAAGCCTTTTTCAGCTTGACAATCGTGCTCGCGCTACCGCTAAGGCTGCTGCTTTAGCCACTTCTTCTTCCAATGCTAACACACCGAAATCTAGTAAGCCTGAGGTTTTCTTGGTCTCCAAGTGATGAAGATCCCCATGACTGGCTCATCTCTTCTTTTTAGGTAATGTAATTAAAGTACAAACTCATACTCTTTTGCAGAAAGCTAGTATGGAGTAGATTTTACTTCTAGTTGATGCTTTTAGTTCTAAATTAGTGCTGATATTCAGCTGACAATTCTCTTTTCAGTGTATCTCTCTTTCTATACTTAAGCTGACATCATATTCTCGTGTTTGACTTTAAATTTTTGTCCACATGCTCTCAGTAAATCTATGTGGGAAGACGAACTCATTGAGGGAACATGGCAAGGGACATGCAACACGACACTAGAAGTCAGTTTGGATTGGATTTTATCTGTGGGATAAAAGGTGTGATAAGGTTTATAACATTCTTTACACTGCCATGAAAGAACAGAAATAAGGGTGTTATTATTAGTTTTTTTGATCAATTACCTGTGTAAGTGAGTTATAGACTGTTAATGTTTGCAGTCAGACAAAATGTACAAAATGAGATCAGAAAGTTACAAGACAGCATGACAAAAGCTGTCGTTGGATAAGCGTGAATGGAATACTTGTAGATATGTAATGTAAAATATTTATACATTTGTTATGGTTTACATTGATTTTTGTACTAGTGATGAGTTCCAGTGGTAAACAGGTAACAATCATTTGATCTGAAATCGGTTTTAATATTTAATTCATTTTAATAGTATGAAGATACTTCATTTCTTAAAAAGAAAAACCAGAAGGTGAACCATGGGGCAGCAATGCTAATCTCACTGGACTTGCGCCCTCTTCTTCAACTGTTAAATGTCCCAAGTTTTTGTTGATATCTGTCTTAACAAAGCCAGGACAAACACAGTTGATGATAATTGACGGGTATTTCTGAGTCAATATTCTTGTATATGCATTCAAAGCTACCTTAGACACTATGTAGGCTGCCATGGTAGAAGGCCAGCCCTTCTCTTTGAATGAACCGTCCTTAAAGTCTCTCTGCAACTCGTTAAAAATCTCGTCCCCTTGTTCTTCTGTAAGGTTATCAGCATCATCTAAGACTCATTTGATTCTCTCAGTTGGTTCTGGGGAGATAAGAAAAGTACGAGGTAATCGATGAATATTTTTCTCAGCAGATGATGTTTATATGCAAAAAGAAAGAAACATATACCTCTAAATCCCCCATAGAAGAGTAAACATTGATGATCCTTTGTGAATCGGATAACTTGAGGAGAGGAAGCAAACTTCGGTGGTTCTCTTTACTCCATAGTAGTTAGTTTCCAAGCAATCTTTTGCGACTTCTTATGTCTGTGGGTCATCATTTTATGGCTCAAATTGCCGAATACAAGATTTTTGAATGAGTTTCTTTACATCAAGCAAGGCTCAGCTCTATTTATTCAACTGATCACACCTCTAATATAGCTCTAGCAAACTCTGCAGCTCAGCCATAGAAATAACAAAATCAGCTCCCTACGATGTCAGCTCGATCTAGCAACTACCATAACAACATGGTGTGATATAACTTGATCACCCTTCCCTTGGACCTCTTTCTCCCACAAGTAATTAACACAGGATCGGAGGCTTGCTTGGCTCGACTTGATGATTCTTTGCTTTACCTCTCACCTAAAGAGACACTTTGTCCTCAAGTTCTGGTAAATAAATGAGAAATCAAGGTAGCTTCAAATTGTGGTAAACCTTGCCATTTTATGAGCACATTTACTGCAGCAGTAGTACGTTGGCAACATTCCTAACAACCAGCACAAGTTCAGGCTCGACGTCCAAGACCATGTATTCTGTCAACTTATGCTCAAATTTGAGAATAAAATCTAGCATTGCCAATTTGAATTAAAAAAAAAAATCAAAACTTTTTTGCATGTGAAATCGAAACTTATCTAAATAAATCAAATTTGGCGCCAAAATTAGAGTTTATTTCATTTAGAAAATAAATCTTTAATTTGAATTCACAAAGAAAGTCAATAAACATGTACTTCAATTCAATCCTTTGTTATTTTTAATCGCAATGTTTGGAATTTCACATTATTAACACATTCCTTTAATTGTCTTTTGTGATTTATATGTTAGAAAAAACATAATCGCGTGGGATCTTGTTCGATTAGTCTCAAAACACATTTTGTTAAGATATTTAAGTTATAAATGTCGAGTGACAAGCGTGAAATCCTTAACGCTGCGATTAAAAATAAATAGAGGAAGTATTTACTCTTCTGAATTCCAAATTAGACATATAAAATGTCTCTTTCATTGCCTAATTGAATTTGGAAAAAAAAAAAGAAAAAAATCTAAGCTTTTGTCGATTGGTTTAATCAATTTTTATTTATTTTTTTTCTATTTGATTCCAACAAATTAAGCCACTCAAATTTTAGGGTCTCGTTAAAAAAAAAAAAAGGTTTTTTTTCGGTATTGTCTTAGCAAATGTAAAATTGGAACTTAAAGAACAAAGATCCACTTTCCATCCATAGTTGCTTAGCAAGAACAATCAATCTCATAGGTTAACTACAAAGCTATGCATCCTTATGTCTATCCGCACCTTCCAAACCTATCAATCAACTTTCCAATAACATAGCTTAACTACAAAGCTATGCGAATTGATGATTACAAATCTTACCTTTTTTGAAACTTTCAATTGTTACTAGTTTTATCTTATTGGTGGCCGAAATTAATTAGGATACTATTGTCACTCGATTGGGCATACACGCATTTGATGGTAGCCAAGTCGGAGGTGGCCAGAACACCCCAGATAGATAAGATGCCAAATTCTGACAATCACCAAGCATAAAATCGTAAACAAAAAGTGAATCATCATAATCGCGAAAAGGAGAACTATATGAAGTGAAACAACCTCAATAAAAGACAATGCAATTGCCTTTCCATCCTTGAAAATCCTCTGCTGAGGCAAAGAAGCTCCCATCAAAAGTTATAAATAGTATTTTATCATCGCCAATGCCTTCAACTTCATCCCATTTTGTCTCCCCTTCGTTTAACTTATAAATGGTAAAAGCTATTCCATCTCTTGTTCCACGCTTACACCATCTATATATTAAATACAGTTCTTGATTATCAGTTGATACAGCTAGACGTCTAATTTTGGTTGAAGACTCAGGCAATGGATTTTCTATGAAGAGCAACAATGATAAGGTATCGTAATCCATCTTATAGGCTCTACCTCTGCGGTCAATAGCATAAATCTTTTCTTTAAAATTAATTACATCATGAAAGTTCCTTACCTCTAGAAAGGTTCCCTGGAAAGTGGAAACTCACATCCAATTCTTGCTTGTCTTTAAGCCTTTCCTGGAGACTCACATCCAATTCTTGCTTGTCTTTAAGCCTTTCTTAGAAACTCACATCCAATTCTTGCTTGTCTTTAAGCCTTATTGCACATAAAGCCCCTCTATGATGTAAAACAATGGCAGTACAATCACCAATTGTAGGGTAAGTTTTACTACAATTAGGATTTACAAACAAAACCACCCTTTTATCGTTGAAATCAGGAAGACCCTTCTTCCCAAACATATCCCCAGGGGCATCAACAAACCTTAACCTATGGAACACAGCCATCTCACATACTTGAATGTACGATAAATCCAAATTCCTAGGGTAACCGACGGGCAACAATCTAATGGCAATTGGTGAAAGCAATCTGCTCACAAACAACTTTCCATGGTGCAACTCTTCAGCAATGAAAAACCAGGGTGGGAGCTTGGGATCAATTGTTGATCAAAAGAGTAAAACATAACTCGCCACTAGAAACGGTGAGAAAGGACCACTGTCATCAAAGCAACTTCCAGCACAGGTTGCTAGAGAGTAGGGAAAAATAGGGGATAGTGTTTAGGGTAAAAATACCCTGTCCACGTGGCCCTATAGCATGCTGACACGTGTTAGCCTCAAAGAGGTCCTAGGGGATCCAATCCTCTACTGACACGTGGCACTTTAACCTTAAAAGGGGAACTGATCCCCTTCCACTATAAATAGAGGAAAATCCTCATTTATTACACATTCATAAATACATACACAAAACCCGAGCAATATTAATTGGAGAATTATCTCGAAACCCGAGAGAAAAACCATTTACATTCCACACTTTTATACTCCTGGACACGTACTAACTAGATCGTCGGAGGCGAAATTCCACCCAATCGGAGTTTCCGTGATTTTGCAGGTACAAACGGTCGGCTCCCAGTTCTGGTATTGTAACTCTCCCAAGGGACTCCAAAAACCCCGAAACATTTGGCGCCGTTTGTGGGGAGAGTACTTCCAGGATGGTATCCCATGAGTCTGTACTGCATGGTAATGAGAAACGGCTTTCGGCCGAAGCTGAGGTCCAGACGGGTCATTCAGAACAAGGCGCTCCCGTCCCAAAGAAACAAGGGAACGGGGCAATGACAAAGCAGGTCCAAGCAACCCAATCGGCTAGCCGGCTGGGCATGCTCAGGCGGCGGAGGGTGCTGCCCTTATCGTCGGAGGCGAACATGAGGGTGACGAACTCATGAAATTCATGACTAGTTTCAAAGGGGAAATCAAGGACCTGATAAATAAGAAGGCTGGCTCCAATAAGGGTCAGTCGGCTAAGAAACTTTCTCCCTCTGGGCAGAAGCCGATTAAAGACCGGGTGCCAACTCCTCATCCTAAACCAAAGGCGGTGGATTGGCCCACAGTTGATCTTTCAAAATTCCAATTTCCCGAAGTGGGGAAGAGGAAGGCCATCCGGCAAGTTCAGCCGGATGGGTCTAATAAGACTTTCTCCGATGCTCGGATGTTAAACCAGCAAAAGAGAAGTCAACAAATGTCTGAGTCGGCTTCAACGTCGACGTACCCAGACAGTTTCCAGAATACTTCAATGAGGTATTCGGAAACAAACTAAGAGAGTCAGTCACGCGGCATGTCCGCACGTACTGCCCCTCAGATTATCCAGCCGACTCCGTATGTGCCCCAACAGCCATACATGCCGTATGGATCACCTTACATGCAGCCGGCCCTCTTTGGGGGTCAGGCGGCACCTACTGTCCAGCCAATGGACTGGCAGCTTTGGCTGCTGAACCTTGGGGAACAGCCTTCGGCTTTCTCCAGGGAGATAACCAAGGCAGCTCAGCCAGCCAAGGTTAAGAACTTGTTGGTCGGTGCTAATGACGACACTACCAACCCGGAAGACCACCTGATAGCGCACACTAACCTTATGTATCTTCAGGGGTTGGATGATGCCGCCTGGTGCTGATGCTTCCCGAAAACATTGAAGGGCATAGCCCAACGATGGTTTGGCAATCTGCCAGCCGATTGCATCAACAACTTCAAGACATTTACATACCTATTTGTGTCAAACTTCTCTATGAACATCCCCGCTAAAAAGACAAGCCTCGATCTGGGGGCCATTTAGCAAGGAGATAGAGAGGGGCTAAGGACTGTCTGACAAAGTTGCCTACACAAACTTCTTCAAGGGTCTGAAAGACGGGTCGACCTTTAAGTTCGACCTAGTCAAGAAGAGGGTGGCAACCCTCCAAGAAGCTTTGATGGAAGTCGAAACCTTTATGCAGGCGTAGGAGCTCTGTGCCATCAAGCAGCCGTCGGACCCTAAAAAGTCCGACTAAAGAGACAGCCGGCATGCTCAGCCAGTTAAAAAAGAGGAGAGCAAGAAAAGAAAAGAAGTCTGGGTGGCGGAAAATTATGGTCAGCCGTCCCCGAAGAAAAAGAAAGAGTTGAAGTCGTACACCCCCAAGTACGAGTTCAACAAAGATTGCTCCTCCATCCTCATGGAGATTAAAGATCGGTTGACAATTGAGAAATCGGCTACAATGAAAAGTCCCATAAAGAGCCGGGACAAGAGCAAATACTGCCATTTCCATGAGGATATTGGCCATGACACCAATGGCTGTTATAGCCTCAAGCGGCTACTGGACCGTTTGGCTGGTGAGGAGGCATTGAAGCCTTACCTCCTGAAGTCCAAGGGGACCCTTAGGACAAGTGGTGGATAGCCGTCCAAGAAGCCTGACAACCTTGCTATAAGCTCTTACACTGATGAAGAGCCAATCTATACTATAGCAGGGGGCTTCGCGGGAGGTGGTTCGGGGTACAAAGGACAATATCAGGAAGCTAGAGGTCAACTCAGTGGATGAGGGCTAGGCATCGAAAGACACCTTATCAGAGGTCATCATCTCTGAGAAGGACCGGGGCAAGGTCAGGTGGCCTCATGATGACCCCATAGTCATCGAATGCAAGGTCGCCAATCAGCGAGTAGGTCGGATCCTCATTGATACCGGGAGCTCGTCTGACCTTATCAGCTATTGGTGCTTGGCAAAGCTCAAGTACAAGCCTAGCAGCATGCACAAGGTCTCCCACCCCTTGGTTGGTTTTGGAGGAGGAGTAGTGCATCCGGTGGGGAGGATTATCATATGGTCGTCAAATTCTTGGTGGTCGAGGAATTGGCCGCCTACAACCTGATTTTGGGCCGTCCAACCCTCAACGAGTCCAAGGCAATTATCATCCCATCTCTCATGTTACTGAAATTCGAGAGGGATGATGGGTCAGTGGGTTCCCTGAACGGAGATCTGAAGGCGGCGAGAGAATGTTATCTCTCAGACGTCAAACCTATTGTCGCCGCGGTCGGCCAAGGTGGGGAGTCCATTGACCTTGACGACTGCAAGGAAGCTGCGCCTGCTCCCAAGGCAGTCGACAAAAAGAGAAAGGCAGACCACTTAGTGGTCGTCAAAGAAGAGAAGCAATAGCAATCACTGATCGGGGAACGGTCAGATGATCTTCGTCCCCAGCCGGCTGGTGAGAGTATTAACATCGTTCTTGACGATCCGCGTCGAGAACGAACTATTAAGGTTGGGACGGTTGCTTTTGCAAAGTTGGGTGCAGACTTGTACCAACTTCTGAAAGAGTTCAAAGACATCTTTTCCTTTGAAGTGGAAGAGATGCCAGGCGTAAGCCCGGATCTTGTTGTCCACAAACTCGCCATGGATCCAAAAAAGAAGCCAGTTAGGCAAAAGAATAGAAATCACGGCAAGGAAAGATCTCAGGCGGCTGCCGCCGAGGTCAGGAAGCTCATGGATGCCGGGTTCATTCGGCAATGTTACTATCCGGATTGGATAGCTTGTTAAAAAGCCGAATGGTACCTGGCGGATGTGTGTTGATTACAAAGATCTGAACAAGGCACGTCCAAAGGACTGTTATCCACTTCCATAGATTGACAGCCTGGTCGACTCTACAGCCGGTCATGCCTTGATAAGCTTTATGGATGCCTACTCAGGCTTCCACCAGATACCCTTGTGGAAAAAAGATCAAGAAAAGACGGCTTTCGTCACTAATCAAGGGTTATTCTGTTATACTGTGATGCCGATTGGGTTGAAGAATGCGCCTGCTACCTTCCAACGTATGATTAATACGGTCTTCATTAATCAAATTGGGAGGAACGTAGAGGCGTATATTGATGACATCATAGTCAAATCCAAGCTACAGATGGATCACCTTGCTGACCTCCGAGAAACCTTCACCACACTCAGGCGGCATAAGGTCATGCTTCACCCCAAGAAGTGTGTTTTTGGCGTTGAGTTTGGGACGTTTCTCGGATTTTTTATTGATCAAAGGGGGATAGAGGCCAATCCGGAAAAGGTACAGGCGGTAATTGGCATGAAGTCACCCTGCATTGTCAAAGAAGTTCAAAAACTAACCGGTTGTCTGGCGGTATTGGGGAGATTCCTCAGCCGGTCAGGTGACAAGTGCCTCTATTTCTTCCAAGCAATCAAGAAGAAGACTAGGTTCGAATGGGGGGAGAATGCTAAGGCGACATTCCAGAAGTTGAAAGAACATCTCCACTCGCTGCCACAGTTGGTCAGTCCTCTAGCCAAGGAAGTTCCTTACATGTATTCGGCTGCCTCAGACCATGCCCTCATCATTAGCCATGTTCTTCGAAATGCTGAGCTATGGTATCCATTGGTTGAAAAATTTGGCCTTGCTCTTTTCATGAGAGTCAAGAAGTTGAAACCATACTTCTTGGCACGTCCGGTGGTGGTCTACACAGACCAACCCCTTAAGAGGCCAATGACAATCCTGGAGTCATCCTGTAGAATGCTCAAATGGGATATTGAGATGCAAAGTCTAGAAATAACCTTTGAACCAAGGAAGGCAGTGAAGGGTCAGGCGTTCGGCGACTTCATTGTCGAAATGACCAGACCGGCTCAACCGGAAAACGTTGATCAGATTTGGAAGGTTTATGTAGACGGGAGCTCTACTATAAATAACTGTGGGTAGGCATAATTTGCAAGTCTCTAGAAGGGGAAAAATATGAATA